TTCCCCCCCCCCCCCCCCCCCCCCCCACCCCTGTGAGCGGGGTTCCCTTAGGCTCCCTCTGCTGTTCTTGTCCGTAGTTCCAACCCTCCCAGACTCGGCCCAACCTCTTCAGGTGCGTATTCAGGTGATATCGAATTTCGTAAACAAAGAAACGAGGGGAGTAGGGATTACCATTTTCAACTGGTACTTTCCGGTGATAATTGCTCCAATACTTGTTTTGTGATTTTTTGCCCAAAGTTGGTAGTGGTAATGCGAATTTCTTCCCAGATGCGTTTACCTTCATCGAGTTTCCGGTGATGTGGAGCGAAAATATCATCTGCGTTACTACAAGACAGCTCAATGTGTACATCCAACTGATTCACGTGGGCAGTGTGTCAAGGTACTTTGAAGGCTAGTTTGTGTAAGAGACGAAAAGAAAGAGAATTGAGCAGCAGATAAACAACGAAAAAGGATTATGAATGTCTCATACTTCATATTTTCATCCTGTGTCGGTTCGACCAGAGCGGTGGTCGTTGAACAAAATTCATTCCTACTAAAGGTCTCATTTTTAGAATGGCGCTCATTGCGCATTCGCACATTCATCGGCTGACTTGCGACAACCACAAGTAAGTCAGCGATCACCAGTTCTTTATGGAGAACATTTAGAATAGTGCGGTTCAGTTTGATCAGCACGAGGCAGGTTTCTCGACTACCATGGACGGTGATGGGCGTGATCGCACCAGTTTTGTAATCGAGGATCCATTATGGCATAGTGAGTGTTCAGGCTTCTTTAAGTAAATGGTTTTTGCTGTCTTATAATGTAACCAGTCGAGCATTGCACACGTGCGTTACAACAAATCAAGCACATTTCCTAATTTTTTTCTTTGATCTAAACCACTACGAGCATTCGCTCACAGGTTGTGATGGATTGTGAGTTAATGTAAGAAGTACCGCTCGCTTTGAAAGCGCCATACTCTCCGCAGATGAGTCTACTTCACCTGATCTGTAAACAAATGCTAGCATTGGTCCATTTTTTTGCTCGACATCGGGCTTTTCAGAGACAAATATAAAGTCTTCCAATCACACCGACCTGTGCATTCTCCTCATCCTGTGAGATAGGTGTTCTCTTGAGCTCATACTTGCCGTCATGTTGGTCTTGTCTTACAAGGAAAAGACACTTGGTCGCAGAGGCCATTCAAGATCAGATGTATGCCCCGTAGATGGTTTCGAACTCTGATCTCAAATCCGTGTTCCGAATCTGCTGAACGATTCTGGAACAAAATCACGGGACCGATGCCTCCCCTGTGTTATACCACTGCACTGAATGGGTCACCGAGCCGAGCAAAGCCCTTACCTGTGCAACGGTGAACTAGCGGGTACTGTGGTGGGCTGATAAGTATGACGTCAAGGTTCGATTCCTTGATGCATGCACTCGTTTTGCTTTTCCATAAAATGTGTCCTAAACGCTTGCCAAACGTTTTTGGGCTCTATAGTGACCACCTGCGGGGCTATCTCACATTTTTGGAACACTGGGAGTTATTACAGCGAAAATTTTTTTTGCCCCTCACCGGCCCAATAGGATTGGAGTACACTCAAACAAAAGAGGAAACCTAAAAAATCGCTCAAAAGCTTCAGAAGCTCGAAGGAGAATGGTTCCAAATGAATCGTCAGATCAAACGCTCTTCAGCATGTTTCTAGCGAAAATTCTGGCGGAAGGTGGTGCCATCGCATTTGATGGGAACTTTCGCTCTTGCAGCGTAACGTGGGCGCTACCTAGGAAGAGGCGGTAATAGGGAGCCTTTGAACCGTACTACTCGGTGCTATGGAAACAATCCCATAATCCATTGCAATTTGAGTCCTTGGAAGGCGATCACAACGATGCTCTGCGTCGCCTGATGATGGTAGCGACGATGGGCCCGTAGCTTCGCGAAAGAAACCTCCTGCGTTTGTGAGGATATAGAGGCTTCGGAGTTGAACGTAGCCTTCATCTTCGTGACCCGCCCATGAGCCCCGTTCTATGGCCGTAGTAGAAGAGTCCATAGCCTTCTAAACTTCGAGTGTCGAAGGAAGCTGCCCTTCCTCATGCAACCTACGTTTCGTATCATCACGACAGAGTGCCGTCTACGGAAATTAGGGGCAAGTGTGAGAGGTCATGAGCTTTCGAATTAGCCTACCTTCGACGAGGTGTGATGTCCTATCTGGTCGTCACTTTCAGGTACAAACAAGCGGACCGGAGATTAGCGGATAAGTTGGAAAGATTTATCATAAAATTAGTGTGAGGATCTCATTGCACGATAGTCACTTTAATTGGATGACGCTTCAAATCAACGATGAAGACCCATAGGGGACAATTTCAAAGGATGTGTTATGCGAATCCTAGGTTTCGAGTAAGCCGTGGTATCATGTCCCACCGCATGTACACAAATCGACAAACTGTTGTTCTACAGTATTTGTTCATCAATGTCATTTAACCTGTACCACCGCTTCGAAGGCACGGACAATATTAGTAGAATGTAGGGACCGTATCCCTCCCCAAGAGGGCCGCGGTCGGATGAGTCATCGACCACCGTCTACCGTAAGTGCCGAAGATTTCGAAACACCATCTTGGCTGTTCGGGGTAGATAGGCGTATATATTCGGTGAGTAAGGGTAAAAAAATTTTATCGGTTCTCTGATCCCCGGAATCCTAATATGTGAGTTAGCTCCGTAGATGGCCAATATTGAACCCAAAAAAGTTTTGCAAGCATTTAGGACACATGTTATGAAGAAGCAAAACGAGCGCATGCATCAGGAAACCGAATCTTGATGTCATGCCTATCAGTCCACCACACTTCCCGCTAGGCCACCGTTGAACAGATGATGGCTTCGCTCGGCTCGGTGATCATCCGTTCAGTGCGGTGGTATAATACAGGGGAGGCATCGGTCCCGTAACTTTGTTCCCAGTACCGTTTAGCAGATTTGGAACACGAATTTGAAATCAGCGTTCCAAACCACCTGCAGGGGTATACATCTCATCTTGAATGGCCACTGCGACCAAGTATCCTTCCCTTGTTAGTCCCAACCCATTGCAAACTTTATCGGACTTCTTCAGGTTCTTCTTCAAGTATTACCGAAATTCGTGACAAATAAACAGGCAGAAGCGAACTCATCACCTAGAGTAGAGAAAATTCATCACTAGAGTAAATACTGGCGATGATTCTCTAGGTGCTAAGTTATGACTGTGGCATCATATAATAAGCGATTTCGGAACGGTACAGTCGTCTTTGAACACAGTTTTGAACGTTTGACTTATCTCCACCCTCTGCAAAGGTTTGATCACCCTTCCTTCAGCAGCCTTTATGCGCTTTTCCGGTTTCTATAACATCATTGAACAAAGTTATTGTTAGGGTCCGTCCACCATAGTGCAAACCTCGCCCAACGCCCGAGATTTGACCACCCTCCACCGATAGCTTTTGATCACTTTTTTCTGCGTCCTAAAGTATTTTTGAAGAGGGTTACGATTTTTGATTTTGGCTCCAATCACCATATTGCAAGCCCGCCCTCTTCTAGAATTTGACCATTCCATCAATAGTCTCTGACCTCGATCCGACTCTAGGCCATGACTTGGTACTCTGCACCACCTTCTCGCGAAATTGGCTGCTTTCATAGTCCACGACCAGTCGCGCGACCGGTCGCGGACCCACCCCCCAACCACTAACAACCATTCGCGCGACTGGTAACTCGACTAATCGCGCGATCTGCTCGGGACCGTCCTCGGCGGCACCCATAACTAGCGCGGCCTCCTCGACCGATCGAGCGACCGGTGGCGCGATCAGTCGAGCGAACAATCTCGCGAAATGGATCCGCGACCGGTCGCGCGACTGGTCGCTCGCAAAATCGTGGACTATGAAAGATGCCGTTGAAACCTCAGAAGGTTACCTACAGCAGTGGAGGGGAAGAAACGGTAATAGACCATGTGCTTATAAGATTCTCCCTCAAAACTGCAAGGGATATTAATGTACTGCCTGGCGAAGAATTCGCCCTGCAGCACAGGCCTTTTATAGCGCACATAGCCATCGAGATTCCAAAGAAAGCACGGATTGTTTTGAATGTTCACACGATGAGTTTGTACGAGCGGTTAGTCGACTCATGTTTAAGGGATATGGTCCCGACTTCACAGCTTCATTTCTGGAAGGTCTACGACAGATAGTATCCTACATCTAGCCAGACAAGTGATGGGTAGTATCGAGAAAAACGTAGGTCCTGTTACCTAGTCTTCCTCAATCTAGATTGGGCGTTCGACCCTCTCCTGTGACAAGTCCTCTGAAGAGCGCTTCGAAAGCGAAAAGCTCTAGAACACATGATCTCCCTTGTGGAGGACATGTGCGACGGTTCCCTGACAGCAATACGCGAAGCAGTTCACGTCGCGGTTCGAGTACACTGGAGAACAACCCTCAGCCCATTTCTCTTTCTACTCACCCTGGATGTCATCACAAGTGGACTGTTGGATGGGCCGCTAAAGACCATCTTCTACGCCGATGATATCGCTCTAATAGCAGAGAGCGGATAAGAGCTCCGGGACAAGCTGCAGAATTGTCAGAAAAGGTTTGCGGGTAAAAGGCATTGTCTTAACGTGAAGAAGACCGAGCTCCTCAGTTTCGAGGAGTGCACGAAGTCAGTCGTGGCGGTCTTGGGGAAACCATCAGAAGAACAGGCTTCCGATATCTGGGAAGTGACCTAGCCGCTGACGGTAGCGTGGACCAGGCTGTAGAAGCCTGAGTAAACGCGGCAGGGATGAAGTGGAGGGAGTCCTCCGGTATCTTTGCAATCGACGGTGCTCCAGGGCGCTCGAAGGAAAGGTGTACAGGACAGGTGAGGCACACCACGTATGGCAGCGGATGCTGGCCCGTGAGTAGAAATCATGAAAGACTTCTCCACTCTGCTGAGATGCCGATGCTCAGATGGGCCAGCGATTGGACGCGCCTGGACTGGATTTTAAACGAATATGTCGGAGCGTTCATGTGGACAGCTTCTGTACAGCTGAAAATGAAAGAGCAATGTGTGCGGTGGTATGAACACGTAATAAGAAGACCACAGCATAATCCAACAAGGGAGGCAATGGAGATCGAAGCTAAGGGAAGCGGGCGAACACGAGGAGCCCCTCAAAAAAGAAGTGGCGGGACGTGATCAAAAGTATCTCAGCGAAGCTGAAGTATTGGTATAGAATGCCATGGAAGAAAGGAATTGGAGACTGTCAATAGTAGCGGACCCTGCGCGAGTGCGTCGGCGCGGGATTAACGCTAGGGAGCAGAATAAAAAGACCAATGAGTCGTTATCAAGGGCCTGAAAGCGTTTTGGAACTTTGGAGTGCTGCCTATCACCTTTGACGGAAACTAACTCTTAACCAGTTGCTTCTCAGACCCATGAACTTCCAACTAAATGGAAATTCCAACAAGTCACTCACGTCAGCTCCACCAACACTGAACTGTTGCTCAGCTCTAGAGACGACAGAGCAAGTGAGACCGCCCTGCCAAACACGATCCATTAATAGTATCGTGAATGATACTTATCAGTTCCTACTATCAAAGCTCACACAGAGGGATGTATGGCAAGAGGTCACCAGTTATGTTGACGCACTCATTCTTTTTATTCGTACCTGGACTTCGCTCTCTTATCCAGAAAGCCTCTAGAGCTTTTCTCGCAAGCAAACTTGTTCTCGCGGGCGAAATTCGTCCATTTAACGTCAAAGTCACAACCAGCATGGCTTTCTATTTTGTGTTTCCCT